GGGCACAAACTGAAGCAGAGGAAGTTCCGTCTGAACATGAGGAAGAACTTCTTCCCTCTGAGGGTGACGGAGCCCTGGAACAGGCTGCCCAGGGAGGCTGTGGAGTCTCCTTCTCTGGAGATATGCAAGACCTGCCTGGACAAGGTCCTGTGCCCCCTGCTCTGGGTGACCCTGCTTGGGCAGGGGATTGGGCTGGGTGACCCACAGAGGTCCCTTCCAACCCCTACCATTCTGTGATTCTGTGTGATTCTGTGATCATCTCACCTGACCGAAACTGGGCACCCAATCCTTCCCTGCTTCTCCCTTCCGCCAGCTCTGGGGTTTAAGTGCTGACCTAGTGGAGATGGCAGCACGGGTGGGAATTAGCAGGCATGGGAAGAGAGTGGCATTGCTTCTTTGGTACAAATTACTCCTTAAAGTTTTCTTGTAATTTTGAGTTATATCTAGGTTACATCTATAATCAGCGGAGTTATGGTGCCTCTGCAATCAGTCCGTCGCTATTAACAGCAGGTAGAAAGTGAAACAGTTAGCTTAGTCGTGGCCCAGGATGTACAGATTAGCTGGACCTGGGTGCAGCAGATGCTGGCTGTCGGAAGCGGCAGGAATGTCTGGTGCAATCCTCAGCGGGTCTGTGAGAAGTGCGGGCGAAGGGTTCAGCAAGACTGTGTTCATAGCTGCTGGAAATAACTGAAGAGCTTTAAAGGGTTTGTTTGAGAGTTAGGTCTGGCACCATTAATTGTTCCCTTTGCTTCTGTCTTCTGGCAGACTGTTTCTATTGAAAATTTTGCCTCACCCTCTGCCGAGGCTGGAACTGACACCGTTGCCACTGAAGTGGAGAACAGGAGTTGACAGCACGGGTTCAGACACGTCACTAAAAGCCTGATAAGACACATTCTTTACATTAACCCACAAAAATCAATGCAAGCCCTCTCAGTGCAATAGCAGCTGAAATTATGCGTATCTAATATGGCATAATCATTATGTACATTATCACAGGCAGATTCGATATTATTTTTTATTGCATTATTGGCATTTCATTTTCGCAGACACGCTACAGAGAGTCAAAGACTGCAATAAATCTCGTGTAACAGGTCTGGTCCTACAAGGTGGTGCGCAGCATAAAATTCTGCTGAAGTTGATCTGAAATTCCCCTGCGTGTTTGACAGAGCAAGGTCTTTCTCAGCTACTAAAGAACAGCACTGAGGGATTGAGCAAGGGAATTAACTCTGCGGTGGTCTTCCGACTTCAGCAGAGTGGATCTCTTCATCAGTCTCTTCTGGTAGAAATCTTCCCTGGGTGGTGAGACTGAAGAGGGTCTGTTGAGAATAAACAACTGTAAAATACCATGCAGCTGGCTGCAGTTGCTCACCTTTGCTCGAATAGTAGCTGTGGGAAGAGCATCCCAGCCCAGAGCAAGGCTAAAAGTGAACTTTTCACCATAACTGTGCTACATCTGCAGAGAGACTGGTGGATTTTGCCTTTTCAAGGTTGGATTATGCACTGGGGTGCATTAGGAGGAGTGTGGCCAGCAGGTCGAGGGAGGTTCTCCTTCTCCTCTACACTACCCTAGTGAGGCCTCATCTGGAGTACTCTGTCCAGTTCTGGGCTCCCCACTTCAAGAAAGATCAGGAGCTACTGGAGAGAGTCCAGCAGAGGGCTGTGAGGATAATGAGGGGACTGGAGCATCTCTCCTACGAGGAGAGGCTGAGGGAGCTGGGCTTGTTCAGCCTGGAGAAGAGAAGGCTGCAAGGGGACCTAATAAATGTTTATAAATATCTGCAGAGTGGGTGTCAGGAGGATGGGGCCAAACTCTTTTCAGTGGTGCCCAGCGACAGGACAAGGGGCAACGGGCACAAACTGAAGCCTGGGAACTTCCAGCTGAACCCGAGGAAGAACTTCTTCCCTCTGAGGGTGACGGAGCCCTGGCCCAGGCTGCCCAGAGGGGCTGTGGAGTCTCCTTCTCTGGAGATATTCAAGATCTGCCTGGACAAGGTCCTGTGCAGCCTGCTGTAGGTGACCCTGCTTCGGCAGGAGGGTTGGACTAGATGACCCACAGAGGTCCCTTCCAACCCCTACTATTCTGTGATTCTGTGTGATTCTGTAAATTTTGAGTATCAATAATATATATTTAGTATCAGGTCACACTTAAGTATAATTTCTGAATCTCTGTGTTTGCTGGTGGAGGGAAGTGGGCATGCATTTTCAGTCTACCTTATTAAAGTGCCAGTATAAAACATGTCAAGCGGTCAACCTCAGTTAAAAAAAGTGTGAGCCTTCAAGCCCAGTCGGAGCAGAAGCAACATTTGCTTTAGCATTATGGTGCATGCCAGTGGCCAGGTTGCCACACTATTTCCTTGGACTGTTTAATTGTCAGTCCCTCTGTCACATCTGCGAGCCACAGGATAGACTGCAGATACAAACTTCTGTGTCCCCTGGAAGCGGAGATGGCGTGGATAGATGCTTGCAATAGCTACCCACAACACTTTAACCCCGTAATGTAGAGTTTTCCCAATGACTGTAGGTCGTCAGTACAGCACACGCTGTAGACCAAGCGGATCAGAGGTCATAGCCCTGTGGAGACATCTATTTTGGTTTGACATAGCTTAGCCTCTAGCATGGCCTGCAAAGAAAGGTGCTGAGGAGGGCATGGTGCTAATCTGATTCACCAGGGGAGACTGGTGAGCCAAGTTGTATTTTCTGTGTTATTTTAGCTGTGGTGTTGCACTGGGAGCACTACTTTTTGGGGGAGGGTTGTGGGAGTTTTTGTACAGTTGAATCTAGGATTTTTTACCTGTTTTCATCTACTGGCTTTTAAGGAAATACCTGTCTGTTTGGCCTGGTATTATAGTTGCGTTTAACAAACTTCTATGTATAAATGATTATTTCTTAGATAAGCAAGCCTGTTAAGGAATCTAAACTGATTTTTCTACCAGCAGTAGCCATTTACCATTTCACGAGAATAGACTTCTGAAAAGGCCTGTGCGAACAATCTGAAAGGAGTATTTGAAAGTCATGGTTGTAATCCTGTGGGCAGAAAAGCAGACTTCACAGTCAAGGGAGGGTCTTGTGTGGAATTCAGATTCATACACAAAATTGAGAGCTTCGAGCCCAGGTCCTTTGCGGATCTCACCTCTTCCAAAGAGAATCCACTGAACGGCTGAGGAAAATGGTGCTGCTCCCTGCAGACAGTGAGCCCTGGAAATCAAAGCTGGCACCTTGGTTTGCGAAGGGGAGCCAGCTGGAAACTGGTGCAGCCAGAGATAGGGATGCACCTGTTAAACCCTTCCTGACTGCACTGCCACATCCCGAGCAAATGCTTGTCTGTTCAGTGTTCGGCTCCTAACGCAACGCGATGATTACACAACCCCAGGCACCAGCACAGGCTGGGGCTGACCTGCTGGAGAGCAGCTCTGCGGAGAGGAACCTGTGTGTCCTGGTGGATGACAGGTTGACCATGAGCCAGCAGTGTGCCCTGGGTGCCAAGAAGGCCAATGGGATCCTGGGGTGCATGAGGAGGAGTGTGGGCAGCAGGGCGAGGGAGGTTCTCCTCCCCCTCTGCTCTGCCCTGGGGAGGCCCCATCTGCAGTGCTGTGTCCAGTTCTGGGCTCCCCAGTTCAAGAAAGATGAGGAGCTACTGAAGAGAGTCCAGCGGAGGGCTACGAGGATGAGGAAGGGACTGGAGCATCTCTCCTATGAAGAAAAGCTGAGGGAGCTGGGCTTGTTCAGCCTGAAGAAGAGAAGGTTGAGAGGGGACCTTAGAAATGCTTCTGAAGATCTGCAAGGTGGATGTCAGGAGGATGGGGCCAGACTCTTTCCAGTGGTGCCCAGCGACAGGACAAGGGGCAATGGGCACAAACTGAAGCCTGGGAAGTTCCAGCTGAACCCGAGGAAGAACTTCTTCCCTCTGAGGGTGACGGAGCCCTGGCCCAGGCTGCCCAGAGGGGCTGTGGAGTCTCCTTCTCTGGAGATATTCAAGACTCTGGGTGACCCTGCTTGGGCAGGGGGTTGGGCTGTGTGACCCACAGAGGTCCTTTCCAACCCCTGCCATACTGTGAGTCTGTGATTAGTCTGTGGAGACTACTTTCGGATAGATCTGATTACAGTTCCGTTTCTTGTTTTGGGCTGTAGTAAGCAGGTAAACAGTTGTATGTGGTTTTGTTAACTCCAGTTATGTTTCCACAGGCGGAAGGATGTTAAGTTTAAAGTGTTCCATGGGTTCTTCTTGGTCACTGTATCTATTACATGTTGCAGTCCTCTTGGTGCTGAGCGGAGAAACCTGTATTATAACCCTCATGTCATTCATTTTATTTCACTGTGCTCTGTTTCAGCCCATGGACCAGGCTTCTCTTAAAAATAGTGATGTTCTCATCCTGACGGGTCTGACACAAATCCCTACTGCTAACCCAGATGGCATGGTAGGAGAGTTCTGCAGCAACTTGGGTAGGTCCTTGAAAGAAATCTTTTGCCTATTTTATCATCTTATTCATTGCTTTGGGTGGGAAATAATTCTGAGATTCCTGGAACTGAGTAAGTTGTCCAGCTATAGCTTCTGGCATAAAACTAGCTGTTTAGATTTTACGATGTGCTCCTGATGTCATTAATACAGTAAGTGCTTGGAGAGACACAAGTTGTACCTAAAATGTTTTGGAATGGAACAGGTACAATGAGATTTAATCATCTGCCGCTCTTGGTTTGCTAAGTATGTCGCTTAGCTGCCAAGAGACTACGTTTTGCCTAGGTTTTGGATATTGTTCCCAGCTGAAATATTACTATTTCCTTCCTGTATATCAGCCAGTGTAAAATCTTTACATGCTTTTTCGTGACACTCAGTTTTGAAAACAAGCACATCTGCTTCCCTTCTTACACCTGATTTTTAAATATATCGAAAGCAAACAGCACAATCTCTGTTTAAAAAAATACATCAAGATATATTTATAGACCCCAGAAATATAAAACCTAATCAGACGCTTTCACAGCTGGAAAAGCTGATAATTGCAAAGCTGTGATATTGTGTGAATGGCAGCATTTTCCAGCCTGTTCGGAATGTCACATCCAGTGCTGTTCTCTCCTTTTCTCCCCTTCCTCCGCCTCAGTTCCTCTGTGCTCTCACCCTTCTGTCGTCAAACCATTTTCTCATGTCTGTCCTGCTGTAGTTTGCCTGTTCTTCTATCAGAGATCTTCCCTTTATTTAAACTAACTACTCTTTACAAGTACGACTGAAAAGCTTGTGGTAGGAAGATTGTTACAAAGGTTATCAAAAGACATTAGAAATCTGGATCAGGGAATCCTCACCGTAAGCCAGTGTTCTGGTCCCCATTACACACCTGGGAGAAGTTTGAGCTGTAGTATTTAGGTGGCTTACCCAAGGTTGCAGAATAAGGCTGAGAGCAGAACGGAAGTGCAAACAGTTCTTAGTCCTACTTTTTTACACGTGAATGTGCCCTTGGAGAAGGAAAAAACATAATACTTCGGGGGTTTTCCCATTTTAAAATCCTTGTGCGTATTCACAGGTGCTGAATATCTGTGTACTGTCTCACAGTCCCAGTATGAGACTGCCATGGTAGTGGAAGGCAAATAGGACAAGGGATGTGGTAGATTCCTCCATCTACCACCATCTCTAGATCCAAATCAGATATCCCTGTTTAGGACAAGTTTCAGTTCAAACAGGAGTCATAGGTCCTGTTGTGGGATGTACAAGGTAATATTATATGGGTTTTGTTTATATGAGAAGATGAGTTACAGGGTTAGGATGATTTCTTGTAGTGTAAATATCTATTAATAGAGTGTGTTCTGGCATTTTAGAAGAATGATAATCCTGGATTACACCAAAGGTCCTCTCTGCCAACATCCTGGCTCCAGCAGGGATCATGAGCAGATGTCTAGAGAAGAGTAGAAGAACAGGATGAGACTAATGCTTTCCCCTTATAATCTCATAGCCTTCAAGTATTTTTATTTCAGGAATTTCCTGGATCAGGCGTGGCTTTTGTGTAGTTAGTAATGTTCAGTGGATTTCTCCTCCAGGAACTTGTTCAACCTCCCCCTGAAGCTGTGTTAATTCTTCACACCTGTGACTTCCATGCCTAACCGATGCCTGTGTTTATATGTGTGTGTGTTACTGTGTTTTCACTGTTTTTAAGCATTATTAATTTTATTACCCTATGAGCTGCCGCAGATAAACTTTGGTGACCTCGTTGTGCTAGATCCAGATGTGCTGCTCTTCTCTGTCCCTTCTGGACCTTTGTGGGGGTTACTGTCCTCCCAACAGACTGTAGCATGACCACATCCTATCATCTTACCTTAAACCACCAAGGAAGCAAGTCTGAGCTGAAATTATTTAGACTTTGTACTGGAGAGGCCGAGGAGCACTGCGTGTTGCCCTGCTGCCAGCTCCACTGCAGATGTGCTCTAGCAAGTGCCTTGGTGGTCACTTGTGTCCTGAACTACAGCAGCTGTATGCTGAGTAAACAAGAGTGAGATTCTTGTTAGTTAAAATACTTTTAAACATTAAATAACATCTTAGAGATGTAACTTGGGCCAAAGCAAAATCCAAAAGATGAATGCATATAAATACATGTTACATATGTAGGTGCAGGTGGGTGTTCATCTGCACAAGTTTTTCTGGTTTACAGAAACATTCTGAACTATTTTGAGGGTTTTGCAAAAGGTCTTCAAGCTAATTTCTGTCTTGAATGCAACAAACTCAGAGCAATTAGAGAATTATTAAAGGCCAAAGAGAGATATATCCTTAAAATGATGCCATTGTAAGAGTCTGGAATTTGAGTGGTATTTGCCAAAAAAACACAGCAACCTGAAGAAATTAAATAACTCTGTGAATATAGTGGTAGGGCAGTCTTCTACATAACACCAGCAGTGTTTACACATCTGCCTCGACGTCAGGAGAAGAAAATAGTGAATCGGCTTCCTTTCAAATGTGTAAAAAAAGTCCAAAAGTCAATTGGTTACTGGGAAAGGCAGTAGAGTAGGCAAGCTGAGCACAATAGTTTTCATATATTTATCCTATTTCCAAAATGTTCAGAGGACTTCACAAGAAGCCCAGAATACATTAGATAATGGCATGTTTGTGAGTAAGTGTTGTGAAGCACAGAAGTGGAAATGTGAAAACTTCACCTTAATCTCTGTTTTCTTAATGGCATGTTTGTGAGTAGGTGTTGTGAAGCACAGAAGTGGAAGTGTGAAAACTTCACCTTAATCTCTGTTTTCATCCCAGCATGTAGACTTGTAGATGCTGATTCCCATTCCTACCAAGTCACATGCATGATTTCCTCTCCTCATCGTGTGTGGAGCACTGAAACCATGCTTTGTCACATCTCCAGGTTCCTCTCGGTTTAGCCCAAACCCCATTTTTCTGTGCTCAGCCCTGCCACACCAGCACTCTGCAGCTCGAGAAAAGCAATTGTATTTTTACATTGCCTTGGGCATCATCAGCAAAATTGCCAGACTGTCTGTAGGGACAGTTTGTGATATTTTGTGTGCGTGTGCGGTCGTGCCTCTGTGTGTGCACGCGTGTGTTTATATAAAGCCGAAAAGAGCACAGTTTGCTTTTTGGGTGCCAACTTGACCTTGTGGTGGCAGCTGTTCGAAAAGCAAGTATCTCATTGTGAGCTGTAAATTGAACAACTTGTTATGGAGCTACTGAAGGAGACTAAATTTGAAATGCCGAGATTATTATACAACTTTTGTCAAGAGAGCGCATCCATCAGTCACAGAGATAAATTGGGCTTTAAACAGCTTTCAAATATACGTGTCCTCTTACTGACAACTGTAGAAAGTTGCTGTAGTGGTGCAGAGAGCCTGATTGGACCTGCTGCTTGCGTGGAAAGCAATATGCTTGTCAAGGTTTTCACCCCTGCTTTGGAGGAGCTGGGAGGTTATTCTTATCCCTCTATGGAACCACTTAAGAGCACCCTCAAGAAGTAGCGCCCAGCTGTGCTGACCACAGTACATGTGAATAAACTTGCACCAAGGAACTGAGTAGTATATTATAAACTGCAAAGCTGGCACACAGAGCCTTGTCGGTTGTGGGACAGCTGTGTTGCTGTCCTTTCATGTCCTGGGGACTCGGAGTATTCACCAGGACGGTTTCAAAAGCACATTACTGTGCCACCAGGAACAGGAGATTCAAGGGGCCAGAAGCGCTGGGTCCATGGCCACTGGGTAGGGCAGCTGGCTGGAAGAGTGCTCCACTCCCTGGTCTGCCATTTTCTATTAGTTGTTGGTAACCAGCTCTGTAGTTTTCCTGGGAACAGAAAATCAAGTTGGCATCTGCTCAAAGACCTTACCCTCCGTTATTTTCTCTGTGGCCCCAGGAATCTTGAACTTCTGGTTGTTTTTCAACGGAGGAGGCTTGAGGTTCCCATAGTGAACCAACGGTTGTGGGGAAGGGAGCGCTGTAAATTCAGACTCTAAGGCTTAGGAATGAAACCGCATTTTTCATGGCCTGGACAAATTCTTTAACTAGTCCAGCATTAGATGAAAGCTTTTCCTCCTGCCTCTTCAAAGGGAGGAGGGAGCCGTTCATCCTGTCTGGGTGAAGCTGGTTGGTGCCTGAGTGAAAGAAAAAGGAACTTGTGTCATGGAGACACACAGCTTTGTCTTTCAGCCAGTGTCTTTGCTCAGGGCAGAGACAGAGCTGCAGACATACCCCTTTCCTTAGCATTCTCCACTGATCACAAATGCGCCCTGCACTACGCATCCCCTCTCTGCCCCATGCAGCATTCTTGCTGCCATCGATACAGGTACTTACCTTGCCTCTGCGCAGAATTTTTGGGTGCATAACGAAGCAGCGCAGAGTCTGCTCCTGGAGCCAGAGGTTTAACTTTCAGCCCCCAGATGGCTTTGAAAATGTCATTCTTAATCTCCATATTCCTCTCTTCACGTCCTGTTTACAGGTGGGGTGGTTTAGACTTGCACATGGAAGAGGGAGTATATAACATTGCTGGGATATTTTGTACCATCGCAGGTTCTGGACAAATGTGAAATATTGCTGTTCATATTCTCAAATATTTTGATGGCATAGTTTATATGTGACCTGGAGAAAACCTAGGCAATAAACCCACTACCCTGCAGTTGTGTTATAGAACCATGGAATGGTTTGGGTTGGAAGGGATCACCTTGTTCCAACCCCCCTGCCATGGGCAGGGACACCTTCCACTAGACCAAGTTGCTTAAAGCCACATCCAAACTGGCCTTGAAAATTTCCAGGGAGGGGACATCCACAGCTTCTCTGGACAACCTGGGCCAGGGCCTCACCACCTTCATAGGAAAGAGTTTCTTTCCTGTAACCAATTTAAATCTTCCCTCTTTCAGTTTAAAGCCATAGCCCTTGTTCTGTCACCACATGCCCTTGTAAAAAGTCCTTCTCCAGCTTTCTTGGAGGCCCCTTTAAGTACTGGCAGGCCGCAGTAAGGTCTCCCCGCAGCCTCCTCTTCCCCAGGCTGAGCAGCCCCAGCTCTCCCAGCCTTTCCTCCCAGCAGAGGGGTTCCAGCCCGCGGATCATTGCTGGGGCCTCCTCTGGCCCCGCTCCCACAGCTCCAGCTCTGTCCTGAGCTGACAGAGCTGGCCCCAGGACTCCCGGGGGGGTCTGAGCAGAGCGGGGCAGAGGGGCAGAATCCCCTCCCTCGCCCTGTGCCCACGCTGCTGGGGATGCAGCCCAGGGCACAGTTGGCCTGTTGGGCTGCGAGCACGCACTGCCGGGTCATGTTGAGCTTCTTGTTAACAAACACCCTCACGTCCTTCTCCTCACGGCTGCTCTCCATCTATTCTCTGCCCAGCCTGGATTTCATCTTGCCCTGACCCAGGTGCAGGACCTTGCGCTTGGTGTTGTAGAACTTAACAAGGTTCCCACACGCCCACCTCTCAAACCTTGCAATGTCTGTCTGGGTGGCATCCCTTCCCTCCAGCGTGTCGACCGGTGTCATCAGGAAACTTGCTGAGGGTGCGCTCAATCCCACGGTCCATGTCGCTGAGAAAGATGTTAAACAGTGCTGGTCCCAGTACCGAGCCCTGAGGAACGCCCCTCGTCACTGGTCTCCACTTGGACATCAAGCCATTGACCACAAATCCCTGAGCGCGACCATTCAGCCAAGTCCTTATCCACTGAGTGGTGGATGACTCTGCTATAGAAGGTGTCTTTGACCACCAGTTGTAGAGAGCAGCACGTGATAGGCACTGACTGCTAAATGGAGTTAGGCACCTAAATGCGTGTGAAAAATCCTGCTAGACTCCGTAAAACCTTTAAACATTCAGCTATAAAAATCTTCCTCGAGCATGTAGGGGGGGCAAAAAGACCCTTAATGTGCTAAATCCATGCCCCATCAAAGCTTGTCAATAAGTTGAAGTCAAGGAAGTGATTATGGGGGGATGTAATATATGTGTTTTCAGGCTCTTTCACAGCTTTTTGTGTAATGCCTTGATGCATAATGTTACTGCTGCCGCACTGCAATTAATAGCAGTAGATGGTTTTACCCCATGACCACAGATGAAATCCTAGTGAGGCAGCAATTGCTTAGTGAGCTTGACAAAGTGTTTCCACTTTTCCGGAAGGTACAGCGTTTTGGTAATTCATTCTGCCAAAAGAACAAAGTGTTTGCTCTGTACTTGCTTTTGCTGTTGTACTCAGATCTGTCTTGATTACAGAGTAAACCTATTTTTCTTTTTTCTTTTCCTCATTTTTCTCTAGTCCCATGCTGTCTACAGTTCATAGAGGTTTTAAATTGTTCTTGTTATATTGAAAGGACAGAAATATTTAGAGTTTTTAAGAAGGAGAAACACTCTCCCACTCCCTTCTAGCTTTGAGGGCTGTTTGAAATAACCACATCTTCAGGCTTGCCTCTAGAGTACCGAAAACTGAGTACGGGACAGTTTACCATGGGTAGCGTTTCCAGCTGAGACCTGTGAGCTGTTGTCCTTCCCCTCGGGTGGACAGCGGATAGATGGAGCAGGGTTTATTTTGATGTAGAGATGTTTTGTGTCGCTCGTTTATCCTCATGTGCCAGTGCAAGACCGCCCTCTCCTGTCAGGAGTTTTGCATGTGCTCAGTCAGTTATGTGCCCCCCAGCTAATGGAGTATAATTGTTCCCTCCGCTAAGCCTGGAGAAGGCAGTAAATAAAAGTATTTAATGATTAGAAGTGTTTCTCCCAGTTCACATGCATAATGTGTTCTGCTAATTCATGTAATAGCATCTTTCTGTACCTTACGTAATATTTGGATTAAAGGAATTCTATTAAAAAGTTTAAATATGAACCCTATTAATTGATTTTTCTCTTTCTCTCTCCCATAGCTATGACTGTCCGGAATGGAGGAAATGTGCTGGTTCCCTGTTACCCCTCTGGAGTAATATACGATCTGCTGGAGTGCCTGTATCAGTATATTGACTCTGCCGGACTCTCCAACGTCCCTTTTTATTTCATCTCACCTGTTGCAAACAGCTCCCTTGAGTTCTCCCAGATCTTTGCTGAATGGTAGGTGTCAAAGGGCTGCTTCATCAGCCTCAGCTCACACACTCAGCTATGGTAAATAGATACATGCAGGTTATCTCTGCTTGACATATTCTAACGTGTACTTGATTAGAATTGTGAACACGTTTCTTGAGTCACAAGGGGGTGTGTGTGTGTAAGTAGATGTTCTATAATTAGGGAAGCGTCGTTTCCTGTAGAACATAGAAACTCAAATAGTCTGTCCTTTTTTGTACTTGCACTGATGATTAAATGATGTACCTGACTTGACTGAATTTTAGCTGTGCCTGTTTGCACATCTTACCCAGCGCCCACAAAACTATACCATGATCTTTCTGTATAAGCAAAATAGATTTTTCAGGCTTAGTTTTGCTGAACCAACAATGTATTTTCATGGCAAAAAAAGGCCAGCAGTATCCTGGGCTGCATTAGGTAGAGAACTGCCAGCAGGTCAGGGAAGGGGATCCTGCTCTGCTCTGCACTGGTGAGGCTACATGGAGAGTGCTGTGTCTTGTTTTGGGCTCCCCAGTACAAGAAGGGTGTGGCTTTACTGGAGTGAGGCCAGCACAGGACCACAAAGATGATATTTCAGATGAGCAGAGGCTGAGAGGTGGGACTCTTCAGCGTGGAGAACAGAAGGCTCGAGGGGGTCTTATCAATGCACGTCCCTGATGGGAGGCAGTGAGGGTGAGGGAGCCAGGCTCTTCTCAGTAGTGTCCACTGACAGCAGCTTGTGAAAAGGCACAAATTAAAACACATGAAATTTCATCTGAGCAGAAGAAACACACTTTCTTACTGTGAGGGTGGTCAAACACTGGAACAGGTTGTGCAGAGAGGTTGTGGAGTCTCTCTCTCTACGGGGACACCAAAACCCAACTGGATGCAGTCCTGGAGGACCTGCTCTAGCTGACAATGCTTGGGCAGGGGTTAGACTAGATGAGCTCAAGAGGTCCCTTCCGACCTCAGCTGTTCTGTGACTGAGAGCCATGGAAAGTAGAATCCAATCACTTGTAACTGGTCCGAAATGCTTACAAATGGAGAGGTGCTCTAGATTATTAAACAGAGCAAGTTAGCTTTTCCTTCCTTTCTTCTGGATTTCTGAAGTCTGGAATTCAGGAAAGGAAAGAGAGATCCTGGAAATCTGAGGTAAATTGATCCCTCAGGAGAATTGTAAAGGAGGTTGAAAGCTGGTGAATTTTAATCACGTTACTTTCAGCAAAAGTGGGCAAATCAAGCCTTGGTGTCCTGGCCAAACCTCGGTGTACTCACCAGGGTATGTTGACTCACCTAGTTGATAGTTAAACAATTGTTTGGTTTGTATTTACCTGGTGATTTCATTTCAGTCGCAGCTGAAGTGCTAGCTGCGTAGTTCATGTTGTAGTAAAGCTTTGGGTTAGATGTTGCTGCCAAAGTAGCAGGAGTGTTACGTGCGCCAGTTGGGTCATCTTGCCTGCTCTGACTAGCTGGCACAATTCAGACACGTGACTCTTCAGACACCGTGTTGTTGAGTTCTGCTTCATGTGGTGGCTTATATTCAAACGTCAAAACCAACATCAGCTAGTCTCCAAGCACGTGTGTGTAAGGTAAATGTTTTACTTAGGTAGAAATGGAAGCAGAGGTTGAACACCTGTAAAGCAGAGGTTTTGCGTCAGAACTGGGATTGAAATTCAGGGATTCCAGCCTTCCAGTTCTAGTATTTAGTCAGCTAAAAGAAATGTCCTGCTTTCAGTGTCTCTTACAGTTTATCGAATATAGTTTGACCCAGGCTTATTGCTTTATAATGCAGTGAAGAAAGTATGAGACGGGTAGTGTTTCCCAGAAGAAGCCACCAGGACAGTGTCACTACCCGTAACTGGAATGACACACGGGCTTCTGACAGATATCTTCTTTAACTTCTGTAATAGGATAAATCAGGAGTCTGACTAGAGCTAATCAGCAAATTTCAATATTTATGCTTTAAAAATAAATGATTGATGTAAAATAGCAGGTAACAGTCAGCATTATAGAATCACAGAATAGTTTGGGTTGGAAGGGACGTTACAGACCATCTCATTCCAACCCCCTGCTATGGGCAGGGGTGCCGTCCACCAGTCCAGGCACTGGCAGGCTGCTCTAACACCTCCCTAGAGCCTTCTCTTCCCCAGGCTGAGCAGCCCCAGCTCTCCCAGCCTCTCCCCCCAGCAGAGGGGTTCCAGCCCTCGCATCATTGCTGGGGCCTCCTCTGACCCCGCTCCCACAGCTCCAGCTCTGTCCTGAGCTGAGGGCTCCAGAGCTGGGCGCAGGACTCCCGGGGGGGTCTCAGCAGACTAGGGCAGAGGGGCAGAATCCCCTCCGTCGCCCTGTGCCCACGCTGCTGGGGATGCAGCCCAGGGCGTGGTTGGCCTGCTGGGCTACGTGCCCATGGTGAGAGTCAGTTCACAAACACTGTAGCTGCAATAATAAAATGCGTAGGGGAATTAGGTTCTAACGAACAAAAGAACCAAGTCATTGCTGAGAAGTGGGATGAGGCAATTGCAATTTTTCTTGGCTTTGCAAAAACTGGACTGTGGAATGGCATGGATGTTGAGTTACAAATTGGTCTTCAGTGGGAAGGGAGTTCTCTTACATAGCGTGTACAAAATTACTTCAGCTGTCTTGCACCTTCTCCAAGTGATCTTACGGTGACTGAGTTGCTGGGTCCTGTAGGAGATGTCGTGTCCTGTCCTCTAAGCAGAAAGACTGGAAGTAACAAAACAAATCAGTGATTTTGCACCTGATGCCAGAGAGAAATGGCTTTCTCCAGAAACAGTTTCACAGTAGATGGCAGCAGATACTGCAGGATGTTCCACAGCTCTCTAACCCAGCTTATTTTCCTTTTCTTTTAAAGGCTGTGTCATAACAAACAAACAAAGGTGTATCTTCCAGAACCTCCTTTTCCCCATGCTGAGGTGAGTAAACCATGGTCTTGCTGTCTGCTAAGATCAGAGAGTGAGGGTGTTTCTGGAACACAGTCCTATGGGGCTGTTGTTTTTCTGATGAACGCTTCTACAGCTATTTAATAGTTTTGTGCCATTATTCATACAAGTTTGGGTTTTTTTCCTTTGCTGTCTGTGGTTAATTTGGAAGTGTGGGGGAGGAATGAATGATGGTGTTCCCTCAACTCAAGAATTATCATGATGTTTATTTCAGCATAGAACTTACATATGCTCGCCTGCTTTACTTCTTCCCCTGCAGAAGGCTGTCTGGTGTACACATGGCTGAATGTTTGCTCATGTCAGACTGCAGCCACGAATATTCCCTTTGTCCGTGCAGTTTCAAAGTCTGTAAAACTAAAGGCTTGTTATCAGAGACGGCTTAGTCATCCCAGCTCCTGCCTCCCTAGCTGAAATAGGCACCATGTTGTCTGCTGCAGGAGAAATGGTATCTTGAAGGAGAGGTTTGATATAAAAAAGTTAAAGCTTGCAGTGCTGAGTGCTGTCATTGCCCATTTTAAAAGAAATTACTTGAGCTAGCATCTTAGTGAAGCAAAGAGGAGTAAGGTTTCTGTCTTTGGGGGGGATCTCCCTGAAACATATGTTGAGGAGATCTTCCCTGCAACAAAATAATAATGTGAGGGGATGTTGTAGCCACCATTAAATAAATGTGGTATAACTCATGCCTTCAGAGTTATCTCACATATCAGGAAAGGAAATCTCTTACTTTCTCCACTGAGAATGGGTAGATTTGCCACTGAAGTACATGAGAGGCAAGCTGAAAAAGGAAGAATTGGACTGAAAAATATTTTTGGCTAAATCTTACTCCTGTGAAACAGTGAGCCATTTGGGGCATGCAGTCTCAGAAAACTGGCTCCTTCAGGTTCCTGTGGTCAAAACTATTTGATGAGATGTGCAGAGTGGCCATTGCAGGTTTAAGAGGCCAGAGATTAAATGCTTTTTCAGGCATTGGGGTTTTTATTTTCCCCTGAGACATCTCGCCCAGGGACTTGTTCTGGAAATTACTATTGCCCATCATATCTATCATCTGTAGTGTCTTCGAATGCATTTTAAGCGGGATGAGCAGTGAATTATATATAATCTGTTACCAAGAATCATGCAGACTGCAGGGCAAGCCACCTATTCACCACTTTTTTTGTAAAAAAAATTCATTCTCACCAATAAATCAATTCCAAAGCCTGATCTCTGAATCCGAGACTCTGTAGCCACGCTGCTGGCTATGCTCTCTGATTTCCCCTGCATCTCTGCTTCCTGGGGTGTTCTTGTTCATCCACAGTGTCATTGGTTTCACGGACAGCCTGCATTCTACCAAAGACATTGCTATGAAATTTTAGGTCACAATATGCGCTGGAACTGGTAGGTTTAAGTGAAAGCCCTTCCAAAGATGAGACGCCAGACACACAGCTGTCAAAGACTGGATTAATTAACCCATCTTTTCTGATGGGGCTTTGTGTTTATAGAGTGATAACTGTGTCCTCTAATTTTTAGGACATTTTATATTCTCCAGAGGCCTGTTGATAATGAGATTTTGCCAAATGATTGTTTAGCTGTTGAGATATTCCTCTGTCCTTCATGTGTAGATCAAGGTAATTATCCAGGAAAGGACTCGCAGCAGCGGATAACAGATCAGTTGCCTTATGACAAAATGCAGTGCACAGAGGGATTAACGTGCCTGTTACAGGTTGAACCAAAAGCCATTGGTTGACAAGGCCAAATCATACAGGTTGTAACCCACAAAGCTGGGGATATTTTATCATCAGATGCACAAACAGCTTTATCTAGACCCCTTGGTATTGATAGGAAGCCATTCTTGGGCTTCTTACATTTTTCCCTAAGGATTGCCTTAAACATGCTAAATGCCACAATACACTGTGTATAAAGGACACGATATACTGTGTATAAAGGACAGAATAGACTGTGTATAAATCAGGCAACATAGTGTATGCACATCCTTGTGGCTCCCAAACTGTGGAACGGCTGTAGCCTTTGGGTATTTCAGCACTGAGCTGCCGTCTGAAGTACATACTGCAGATTTCACAGCAGGTTGTCTAACACAACCAAGATGGTGTGTTCGGGTGTTCACTTACAGCTGCTGTATAAACACTGGGAAGTGGAGTAACCTGCACTGCTTCCGGCCCGTGGTGGGCTGAATGGGTCTCTTCGTTGCTAATTCCTGATACATATTGGCTGTTTTGCAAAACTGGTTTGTATGGTGAGAGGCAGTGGCAATGCTCTTTCAAAAGCCTGGCTAAATAGGAAAACCAAAAAAGTAATAATCAGGCAAAGAAAGACTGAGGCTGCTGTTTCATTTAATGCTTTTCTTATGGTTGTAAATCACTAAGTTCAGACACTCTTGAGATCGCCAGATCGGATTGCTCCTTTCTGTTCTGTAAGATGCATGGTTTGGTTTAGTGGGGTGGACCTGCTGGAGAGCAGCTCTGTGGAGAGGGACCTGGGTGTCCTGGTGGACGACAGGTTAACCATGAGCCAGCAGCGTGCCCTGGCTGCCAAGAAAGCCAATGGGATCCTGGGGTGCATCAAGAAGAGTGTGGCCAGCAGGACGAGGGAGGTTCTCGAGGGAGGTTCTCCGTCCCCTCTGCACTGCCCTAGTGAGGCCCCATCTGGAGTACTGTGTCCAGTTCTGGGCTCCCCACTTCAAGAAAGATGAGGAGCTACTGGAGAGAGTCCAGCGGAGGGCTATGAGGATGGTGAGGGGACTGGAGCATCTCTGCTATGAGGTGAGGCTGAGGGAGCTGGGCTTGTTCAGGCTGGAGAAGAGAAGGCTGAGAGGGGACCTTATATATGCTTAGAAATATCTCAAGGGCGGGTGTCAGGAAGATGGGGCCAAAATTTTCAGTGGTGCCCAGCGACAGGACAAGGGGCAATGGGCACAAACTGAAGCCTGGGAAGTTCCATCGGCACATGAGGAAGAACTTCTTCCCTCTGAGGGTGACGGAGCCCTGGCACAGGCTGCCCAGGGAGGTTGTGGAGTCTCCTTCTCTGGAGATATTCAAGGCCCACCTGGACAAGGTCCTGTGCCCCCTGCTCTGGGTGACCCTGCTTGGGCAGGAGGTTGGACTGGGTGACCCACAGAGGTCCCTTCCAACCCCTACCATGCTGTGATCCTGCGATTCTGTAATGAAAGCATATTGAGATCTAGATAGATGACTGGCATGCAGGACACCCTTGCTCACCAACACAGCGCCAAGATGTCCATGTCAGGTACGCAGTGCTCAGCACATGCCTTTTATTCCATGTTGCTCTCCCCTGAGGAACAGCTTCTGTTGTCCTTTTATTCCTGCAATTCTCAGCTGCCTTGGGCTGCATTCCAGTTTTAGTGGTACCTACAGCTGGTTGTGGTTTAGTGCTGTCATACTGCTTCTAAGGCAGGAGAGAGGAGCTGGGTTTCTTTTGCTGCTATGAAATACAGAGATGGAACAAAGAGTGTAAACAGAACAGGGGAAACATCTTGGAGCTGACACTGTATATGTCACTCGTATAATGTGAAACATTTATATAACCTCTTTTCATTACAGTCTTTAACAAATGTATTATTTATTCCCTGGCAGAAACCCTGTTAATGCCTGTGCAAACAGTTTCCACAGTAGGCTCAGGTACTGTGATAATTTTACCAAGCAAAATGGTCTTAATACAGATGTGGCCTGAATAACCTGTCCGTGGCCATACCATCAGTCTAGGAGGGAGCAGGGGCTTGGACTCAAGACTTCCAGTTACTAAGTCAGAGCCGTAGTCAGCAGCCAGCCTTTTTGTCTCAGGTAAACACTCTGTTTCTGAGTCTGTGACTCCACAACCTCACAATCAGGAGCTCTGCTTACTAGCGCTTAAGGGAATTTTTAATGAGTATCAGAAGCAGACATTGAATGATCATTTCTGTTGGATAGGTTGTTAGTGGAGAATTGCCTTACTTTTTTCAAAGTAATGGTAGGCTTGTGCAATGTAAACTACACGGAAATTGCCCATCATGAAAAGATGTGCTTAGCTGCTCGATTGTTGGATGAAAATAGGGAATTACTCAGACATGCCTCTTTGTTATTAGCAAGCATTAATAAAATGCCTGGCATGATACATCAGAAAGGGACAGGCCAGGAAATAAGCTTCTAATTATCTGTGGAAAAAGTCCAGCCCAATATGCTGTCTGGTCCTGAAATTCAATGCTCCTGTTAGCTGTATAAACAGCAAGATTTAAAAACAAACAAGGCAGAAGAATCCCCAAAATTGTTGATGTAGTCTCTTGCAGCAATGGGTTCCAGTGGTGCTGATGCATAGCATAAAAGGGCATTTACTTCCTTTAATCAGTTGTGATTGTATTTTGCAGTTCAGTTAACTATCCTTTTATTCTTGTTACAAGAAGATAAAGAAAAGTATCTTCATCTTCTCTACAATTATGGTTTTTATTTTGTCTTACTTTCCTCTCTGTGCGAAGTGTGAAGCTTTTTCATTCTCTTTGCATGGAAATTTTCCAGGTTTATGATTTATGTTACCTGTTCTGAACTCATTCCTCCTTCTGCTGTGCTGAATAAAACCAGACACACTCTTCAACGCTGCAGAGAACCCAAAAAACTTCTACTCCCTCCTTGTTACTGCTGCTTTAATGTAGCAACAGGTGTTCATCGTATCTCCTCCAACACAATTTCTTTCCTGCAGGAGTGGTCAGGCCTTGCACCAGGCTGCCCAGGGCAGTAGGGGAGTCCCCATCCCTGGAGGGGTTCAAAAACCGTGTAGATGTGGCACTTCAGGACATGGTTAGCAGGCGTGGGGGTGTTGGGTTGATGATTGGGCTTGAGGAGCTTAGAGGTCTTTTCCAACCTTTATGATTCTGTGATCACTGTGCACAGTTTTCTGGCGTGGCAGTTTGTTTCCTGACATTCAGTCTGAGTGAACGGGGAATGTACTATCCCTCTGTTATGAGCAAGAAATGTGGGCTAGAGTGCTTC